TTGTTTTTAAGGGAAACTTTCCTTTTAACCCCCTTTGCCCACACAGTAAAGACATCATTCATAAAAAAAAAAAAAAGATTCACATCATCCATTCATCCATCCATTTCTTCTCACAAGAGTAGCAGGGGGTGCTGGAGCCCATCCCAGCTGTCTTCGAGCAGTAGGCGAGGGATAACCTGAACCGGTTACACGCCAAACAACCATCCGCGCTCACACTCACACCTAGGAACAATTTGAGGCGTTCAATCAACCTTCCATGCATGTTTGTGGAATGTGGGATGAAAACGGAGTACACGGGTAAAACTCCCGCAGGTACTAGGAGAACATGCAAACTCCACAAAGGAACGCCGAAGCTGGAATCCAATCCTGTGCACTGTGAGGGGGACGTACTAACCAGTCGCCCACCGTGCTGCCCAATTCACAACATCTTCATATTTATTCAATTATTTCGTGAGCCCTCAAATTGGATGTGTTCTACAGACAAATCCCATCAAGAGAGACTCCTTTCAGCATTGACTGTGGGGGGCAATCAATCCAAAAGACCCCTTCATTCATTTTCATGCCATTCTCAAAAAAGACAGCTTGCAGCATAGCGAAGCAAGAATTCAGGTGCACACTGTGTGCTCGGTGCACAATTCACATCCGCTTAACAAGGCTATGATGAAGGATGACTTGTCTGTTCGTATTTTTTCACACCCAGTGATGGTATTACTTCACCGGTGAACAGTAAAATGTGCACTACTTTGTAATGAGAGCTTTGTGTATCACAAGTCGAACACAATCTTGCTCTGTGAATGCCACCACTGTTCTTACTTGCAGCCTGCTCACGTCCTGCCTTGACGTTGTTCTCATAATCATTATAATCACTGTAATTCCCTGCTAATTAAACTAAGTGTTTCAATAATTACTGCTTTCTGTTAAACTACAACCACAGATTGTTCCCAGAGTAAAAGATTTGTTTTTAACTGCCCAGGGAAGGATAATCTTTAAAATCAGTCTTGTTTTTGCACAATAATCATTCACACTTGATGCTAGGGTGATTGGTTCAGTATGCACCAAAGATGTATTTCGGGAATGCTGGAATAATTAATTCAGTGTGTCCTCCTGCCTTGCACGCATGATAAATAGAATACTGCTTTGGTCCATTGTCTCAGCGGCTTAATTTACGAGTTCGGACTCCGCTCGCATTATGGGCAAAATGAAGAACATGTCGCCAGTTGTGACAGGGGTGGCTGGGGTGACACACAGATCCTCCCTCAGTCAGTTAAGATCATCTCTCACCGTTGGCTCCTTAAGAATCCCCGGAACGCCGTTGGTTTTTAATGTCACCTGCGTGTCGTGTCCCATCTCTAATTACAGGGGTGGCTGGGGTGACACACAGATCCTCCCTCTGTCAGTTAAGATCATTCATCTCTCACCGTTGGCTCCTTAAGAATCCTCGGAACGCCGTTGGTTTTTAATGTCACCTGCGTGCCGTGTTCCATCTCTAATCGTAAAAGACTCCTTGTTCCGAAAATATTCACTGGACACATGCGCTTGTCTGCCAGTCCTCGTGCATACCCTGTGACCAACTGGACCCCCAACTCTGCGATGGTCACTTTGTCATCTAACACCGTGACGGTCCTCTCTGCCAGGATTGAGTCTGACAGAGGAGACAGCACCTACCACGAGACAGAAACATAGTACAGCCAGCGCAGAAAACATTGTTTTCCTTTGCCTTTACTGTATAGAAATATATATAGTGCCTCGGTAAAATAGTCTCAGTCTATTCTTCAGCCTCTTCACGAAATCTTTTTAATTTCCTGTTGCAGACAGTGTGTCTTTCTCTGGAGAAATCATAAGGAAGAACAAGTACAGCTACACAGGGTAAAAAAAGGATTACCTGTAAAAACTTCCGCAAATGAAAATCCAAACAGAAATGAGCCACTGTTTGATTGGCAGGCGATCCCTTGCAATGGAAGGTAACGGCATCACGTCAATGAACACTTAGCTGTGAAAATGTCTCCGCCTTGAAAACTGCAGATTAAGTTGAGTTATAGGTGATTTAAGAAAATGTCTCTCCAAGTGTTTCATCTCACATAAAAGGCTCACAAGCCTCCGTGCAAAATCCGAAATGATACCCCCAAACTACTTTTCATTTCATCCGTTTTCTCAAGCTGTGTGGATCAGACAACAACTCTGCTTGGCTGCCGTCCAACCTCCAAACCTCCTGCAGGTACGAATCAATTTCTTTGATTCATACTGGTAATCCAGAGAAGAGACACACTTTCACCCCAAAACAGAAGCAGACAGTCACACTTTGTTTATGATGAATGTTGCGTGACTAAAGTGTAACCTTTATTTCCTCCATGCATATTCACATGAAAGAATGCTCTTCTGTCAATCGCAGGTGTGTGACACAGGCAATCCCTTGCGTCAACACGTCATGCTCATTGCTGTTTGTGTTTGGCGTGTCAAAAGTAGAACAGAGACACGTTCACAAATGAGGAAACAGATTCCGCTCTCGTAGATATTATTTGGAGATGTGACACAGTTGCCATTAATATGCAAAAGCCAAATGGCAGACCAGCAAGTACTGGCAGTACCTAGATTTGTCCACAGAAGTCCGACTAAGTAAAAAAAAACGGCTAATAGATCGATGATTTCATGTAGTACAGAGCAGTTCACTGAAAGTGGGAACTCGTAAACAAACAAACAAACAAACAAACAAACAAAAATCTTTTTGGGGGGGTCATATTTGTTAAAACTCAGTTCACCCTGAAAGGAATAGATGAGCAAAATGATATGTGGAAAAAAAAAAAAGAACCCTCCCTGATAGCGCCTGAGAAAAAAAAAAAACGCTAACAGAAAGGATGACTGACGAGTTATGTGCCAGTTATTTACCTTGCACTCGTTGGCACAGTCACAGCGGACACCGTCTTTCGGCCTTACACTGACCTCTTATCTTTGGCCTTACAAGCTTTGCTAAGAGCCTGAAACGATGATGATGGACAAACCACCTTTGGAAAAACAAAGCCCTTTCCTCGTTTGCAAAGAACTGGATATGAGAATGGCAAACAGAAGCAGAGTGAAAGGACCTGAAGTTGCCGAGAGGATTCAGAATTCTATTCTCTATATATACTAACTTTAAACTTAACAGGTAAATTGGTCAGATCTTGGTAAATTCCACATTTTGGGAGGTAATACGGCAAGAGGGTCTACAATTACTGAAGTGAGGCTATATTCAATCTTGCTAGAAGTTTTAGCATTTACTTGATGCGAATACATGACCTACCTGAATCGTGGTCATTCCCACATCGCGTCCCATAAGTATCCGCTTGTCCAGCAGCTGTGCGATCTGAGGGTTCTCCACCTTCAGGAATTCCCCCACTAACTCTGTAATGTCCGCCTGCCAATCGGTGCCCAGCATGTAGCTGGTCTGGCTTCGGGGATCGGCGGATTCAGCAACAAAGTGAGTCAGGACTCTGACCATGGCGTGCTGGTACTGCAGGGTGCAGCCTCGTCCTCGTCTGTCTTCATCATCGTCATCCTCACTGTCCCGTGTGGACCTGGCAATTGCAAAGCAGGACTCCTTAATTGGGTGGCACGCTTAGCAAGACGATACTTGGACAAGGTGTTCCCCTGAGATGGGTGCTAACATCGACATGTTCAGGTGATTAATTTTGATCTCTACGACAGATATCATGGTGACATTCAAGAACTGTGTTTGATACGACGGTGGGGGCAGAGGGAGATATATCTGCTTTGTTGCATGGCTTTTTTGGCACATTTTAATGACAACTGACAAACGTTCACACGCACAGCAGGCAAACTTACAGTGGGATGATGAAGATCAGGAAATGTTTTCAAAACTGTGGGAGGATGAACGCAGTGCGTGCCTTGCATTGTTCTTCCTCAGCATCGCTCTTTCGCCTCCTCTTAACTTCACTGATGTTCAACTTTTGATTTTCTGGCTTTTATTTTTTTTCATCAATAAAAAAATGATCTGGGAGGATAACAGCTGTCACAGACCTTCGGTCTCGGTTTGTGGACCCTTGCAATCACAAAACTGCTTTGCCATTCATTTACGAGGCCAGATATTTTTTCAATTATGTTTATTATCTATTTACACATGTGCATATACAGTAGACACTAACATTATGATAAAGTGAAGACCCCCCCACAATGTCACTTTTTTTTTGTTTGCCTGTGTGTGTTAGCTGCTCTGAGTCAAAGCAGCAAACTTTGTCAGATTTGGAATCGAAGACCTAATAGCTACTTTACTGGACACATTTTCCATGCACCTGAATGACAGACAGCCTCCGTGGATAATAGAAAGTGAGAATAATTTCACATCCATTAAGGTTCAAGAGCAGCAAGTGATCCAGTAGAGGGGCAGGTCAATTCACATTATGAATATAACGGTACATTTTTGCATAGTGGAGAGATCAAATGCTTTTGAATTTACCGAACGCTCAGACCTGAGCCGATTTGACCTCATGTTTGAACCGATGCTCCCAAAGGCACCTGGAGTTGAAGAGCGAGGCCAAATACTGATTACCTTTTCAAGCTAAACAAGATATTTTTATGCTATAAAATGTAGTCAACTCTGCCGTATCAATGAAACATTAATGGAACAAGAAGCAAAGGAGAAACGCATGGTCTTCTGCTCTGGAGCCGGGATGTGTCGGTGCAGTAAATTGGTTTGTCAAGCAGCTGTTGCCTCTTTGCAAAACACTTTTGAGTTGTCTCAGGGTTACAATTTCTAACACTGAATTAGAGATGCTTGTTGCTTTAGCTTAAAATAGCAGATCTGTTGTCTCTAAGCAGGCCTTGCATGACACGTTTATTGCATATTCATGAACGCTAATTCTCCCACTCCTGACTTTTATGTATATTTCCTCACAAAAAAGGAATACGGTTCCTAATTTCAAGGCAGGGTTGTAATTTGTTTTTCTCCTTTCATTATATCGTGCTGTTTTTTTCAACTGAAAGGGGCTATTTTTTAAAACTGATCCCAATGGCTACCTAAATTTAACTTTGTACAATTTGAAACAGGCAGACAACATTATTATGAGACAAGAAAGGGGCAAACAAGTTGCCATCTTAAACTAAAGAGAGATACTACTCAGCGTGATAGCCAACCTGGTTCAGAGAGCAGTCTTACCCATTTTCTACGCTGAAAAAAACATGGTGTGTTAAATTCACTCAATTTTATTTCAGCAGTATCTGAATCAAAATACGTTTTTAAGCGGAGCAGTAGTCTACTTTCAAAATGGACCTGGATCCAGATGATCTTATTTCATGCGACCACTTGACAAATTGAAATTGAGTAAATTCCTCCATCCATCCATCCATCATCTGATCCGCCTATCGCTACAAGTGTCGCGGGCATACCGGAGTTTATCCTAGCTGTCTTCGGGCAGTAGGCGGGGCACATCCTGAACAGGTTGCCAGCCAATCAGCAAATTCAACACACCGTTTTTTTTTTTTGTTTGTTTTTTTTAATCAGTACAGTTTTGACTTCACAGTTGTTGTTGTTAACATAAAATACATCTTTATTTGGCAATTGTTATTCAATTGGGACTCATTTTGTTTGAATTGAAATGAAAAAGATGTGATCAGATGAGAAAACAAGACCTAAAATACAAAAACCAAGTACATTTTATTTTAACGGTATGAAGCAAGGAAAAGAAACTCAATACAACCATTTTTAAGAAGTGTTATGCCTGAGTGCTGCTCCTACACAAGTTTGTCGTCTGTGAGGGCTTATCTTGTCTCCATTTTGACAAGGATTAGGGAGGGAAGGGGTGAGGCATACACGCAGTGCCAGTCACAAACCGAGAGAGGAGAGCTTTTGCAACAATCCGACTAACGTGCCTGACGTCGCTGATTTTCCCTCAGTGCACTTTGCCAGCCTGGCTGATAGAAGAACTTCCTCGAATTAGTACCGAAGCTCCTTTGCTCACTTCCGTCTAAGCGTGTGAAAAGTGGACCATTGGCCTTTCTCTCCAAAAGACAGAGTGCTACTTTAAAAGGTCATGTCTGTTACCCCCTGATAAACAAAACAGGCAAAGGACAAAGAAAACATGCAGTTATGTTGGCATCAACAATTACAACACACCCAAGCTGTCCCAATTGATAAAGTCATCCAGCACACTTATGGGAGTCCTTTACTTTCATCCCTCGCTCCATTTTCTATACCACTTGTCCTCATTAATGTCATGGGTAAGCTGAAGCCTATCCCTGCTGACTTTGGGTGAGTGGCAGGGAACACCCCGGACTAGTCGCTAGTCAATCGCAAGGTTTTCTCCCGCCTTTTGTGACTAGAAGGGGGGCACAAGTAATTCACACACCGATGTGCAGGAGGACTCCCAAGTTCACCGTTTTCCAAATGTAATTAGGGCAAGGTAGACTTAATAGTTTTTCCATCACTTGATGCAATTCGTCAAGAGTTAAGAGTGGAGGTGTTGGCAGATGCTGCTGGTGATGAGCCCCAAGCAGAGAAATCTGACCTCGATTCAGCTCATGACTGAGTGGTGCAATGACAGGCCACCTTAAGCCGGCTGTATGGCAAGCTGAATTTCACTGGTCAGCCATTTTCTGATCTGGCTGGAGGTGTCAGTGGGAAGGGACAACGCTCATCAGTCATCCACACCTGCCATAATTCAAACGGCAGGAGAAATGTCACCAGTAATAAAAACAATCATTGCTGTCTGACATTAGGCTAGTTTTTCCAAGGAGGACAATTATCCAGTGGCATGCATTGAATTTCGGATCGGGCCTTCTGTGACCTAATGGGATGTGAACCATCAGTCTGTGGATGGAAGCCATTTGGCAGCCCCCAATGGTTAAACAATGGGGAATATACATCAGCAAACCCCTACATCCAACCCCTTCGGCATCTGCATCGCCCACCACAACCCCAAAATAAACGACTCAATACACACGCAAAAAAAAAAACAAAAAAAAAAACGAGCCAAGTACAGCCAAGACACAAGCTAGGAAATGAAGATAATACATTGTTGGAAATAAATTGTTGCAATTCATTTAAGTTGTAAATGCACGTTGAGAAAGCTACTGAACCTCCAGTTGGTCCTGATGCTGCGTCTACACAAGATGAATGACAGTGCTCAGTGCTATGACAACCTTGAAGGTAGAAAAGCACTATACGAGTGAAAGCCCAAGTTATAGGTCATATTTAAGGTGAAAAAAAATGAAATGGTAATTCGGTTGAAGTAAAGTTTAATTGTGTTTGAAATGCAACTTCAAAACAATGAAGTGCTATGAAATCATGCAATCATAATCTCAGTTGTTTAACTTTTTAAGGCAAAAACAGGGGGTTTGGTGTGAGCATTTGAGGAAATAAAAAAAAAAAAACATTGTATTATCGCTCCAATAGTTGTTTTGACTGAGCAAAATTATCTGACTTGACATTTGACTTGCTTGAACCATGTGACAACTTGACTCAATTTGCTTGAAATCTGGTGGTGACTTGAGATGATTTTTCTTTTCCACAGTGATTTGGGACTTGCTTGAGACTTGCACATGTGACTTACTCCCACCTCTGTTGAGGTGATGTGACATGCGAAATCCCATGTTGCCCAGTCAGTATGATATAAAACACACCACATCAAGTTCATTTCAGGGGCAGGCCAAACAACTGTCAGTTAATAAGAGCATCATGCAGCACTTTACCTGGGACTGCTGGCCATGATGGGCACCCGCCACCCTTTGATCTGGCTCAGCTCTGTGTCAGACACTTCAATTTGGAGGGGAAGCCGAGGGATCCACACGTTGAGCTCCAGCTGAGCACTCAGGTAGGCGTAGGTAAAGTTCACCGCCATCTTCACTTTGCCCTTCATCTCTTTGCCGTTCACAAAAACATAGTCACATCTCTCCGACACCTACAGAGGAAGAGGAGTAAATTAGAAGAAGAGTGACTGTTAGCAAGTTTGGCTTTTGCACTCACAGTGAAGGAAACTCTGAACAGTGTGGTCATTCCACTCTCCAAGTTGACTTAGTCAGCCTTTACACTCCTGAGCAGTGAGCACTCCTGAGCGTGCCTACTTTGAACAAGATGAAAGATCCTCTATATGCTCTACTCTTAGTTGAAAAAAAAAGAAAAAAAAAAGGAGGCCAGCAAGGACATCTTTGAACCTCAAGGAAAAAAAACAAACTCTTCTTTTAAAGTTCTGCTTACGGCTAAAAGAGGTACCAACAGATGGGAACTGGTAAAAGGAGAACAGTTGTCTCTTGATAAAATGATCAAACTCAAAGCCATCTGTTTCATAAATTGCTTTACAAAAAGAATGACCAGTCCAGTTATTTGCTATAGAATGATACTACTCTTTACTGCCTTGGCATATTGTGTTTGAACTGTATCTTGGCATCTTTTTAACTTGCACCAGAGTTTAAAGGATGTCCACAATGTTCCCCCTTTTTAAAAGCTTTATGATAAAGCCTTGCCGCGCTACAAACAAACAACACGAAAAGCCTCATGGGCTATCCCAAAAATTTTAAAAAGCACTAGCTCTTAGAAAGGTAATTAATCAATGAGGCAAAACCAGATATTGCTTGTTTTCTGGCGTTCCATCAAGCTCATTGATCCTCTCGAATAGCAACCTTCTATGACTTGAATTAGATGGCCGTTTCTCCACTGTGAGATACCGTCTATAAACAGCCATTCATCAAGAGACTTTGGCAAGACATCTGTCTACCGCTCTGTGACCGGGAAACAAAGTTTTTATTGGGTGGCTTGGTGTTTCCAACACATTCACATCAACGTTACAGTGTGGAGCAATCACGCATCAGTTGTAAGGTCATATTCACAACGCATCGTATGTTATTACCCGTCATGAATTGAAATTGAAACTTGCCAAAGAAAGTAATAAAAGTGAAATTATCCCATCCATCTATCCATCCTTTCATTTTCCGATCCGCTTATCCTCACAAGGGGGTGCTGGAGCCTATCCTAGCCATCTTCGGGCAGTAGGCGGGGGACACCCTGAACCGGTTGCCAGCCAATCGCAGGGCACACAGAGACAAACAACCATCCGTGCTCACACTCACACCTAGGGACAATTTAGAGTGTTCAATCAGCCTGCCATGCATGTTTTTGGAATGTGGGAGGAAACCGGAGTACCCAGAGAAAACCCAAGCAGGCCCGGGGATAACATGCAAACTCCACACAGGGAGGCCAGAGCTGGAATTGAACCCGGTCCCTCTGCACTATGAGGTCGATGCGCGAACCACTGGACCACCGGGCCGCAAAAATGAAATTAGTATCATAATAATATTACGAATAATAGCATAAGTAAGTTACAATATGTGTGGCGGTGGGTGCGAACTGTGCCTGCCCGGTGCTGAGACAGAAACAACGAATCTATAACGACCATCATATTGCTCCAATGTCAGAACAATATTGATACTGGCTTGGTATTGATACAGTTGTGCACTTCATTTTATATTAACAGACAATGAATTAATACTAACACCTAAAACCACCCAAGAATTAAAAAAAAATGTAGTGGAAACTATTAAAGAGCTGAAATCATCGACTTGCTGTCTTGACTCAATACCATCCATCCATCACTCCATCCATCCATTTTGTAATTTTTGAAAACCCTTATCCTCACGAGGGTTGCAGGGTGTGGTGGAGCCTATCCCAGCTGTCTTCAGGCAGTAGGCGGAGTCCACCCTGAAAAGATTTCCAGCCAATCGCAGAGCACACATTGACAAACAATCATGTGCTCACGATCACGCAGTCACACGTTCAATCGACCTGTTTTTGGAAAGTGGGAGGAAACCGGAGGACCTGGAGAAAAAAACACGCAGGCATGGGGATAACATGCAAACTCGACAAATGAAGGCTGGATTTGAACACACAACCTCTGCGCTGTGAGGCGGATGTGCTAACCAGTCAACTGACGTGCACTTAGTAACTGTATTTAAAAACCAAAGACCAAATCCGAATCTTTGGTATGCTGATACTTTAGGATCTGACTTCCAGCAGTCATATCTAATCAATCACGAAAACAACCCTTGAGCAGCCATTTTCCGATCCGCTTATCCTCACAAGGGGGTGCTGGAGCCTATCCTAGCCATCTTCGGGCAGTAGGCGGGGGACACCCTGAACCGGTTGCCAGCCAATCGCAGGGCACACAGAGACAAACAACCATCCGTGCTCACACTCACACCTAGGGACAATTTAGAGTGTTCAATCAGCCTGCCATGCATGTTTTTGGAATGTGGGAGGAAACCGGAGTACCCAGAGAAAACCCAAGCAGGCCCGGGGATAACATGCAAACTCCACACAGGGAGGCCAGAGCTGGAATTGAACCCGGTCCCTCTGCACTATGAGGTCGATGCGCGAACCACTGGACCACCGGGCCGCAAAAATGAAATTAGTATCATAATAATATTACGAATAATAGCATAAGTAAGTTACAATATGTGTGGCGGTGGGTGCGAACTGTGCCTGCCCGGTGCTGAGACAGAAACAACGAATCTATAACGACCATCATATTGCTCCAATGTCAGAACAATATTGATACTGGCTTGGTATTGATACAGTTGTGCACTTCATTTTATATTAACAGACAATGAATTAATACTAACACCTAAAACCACCCAAGAATTAAAAAAAAATGTAGTGGAAACTATTAAAGAGCTGAAATCATCGACTTGCTGTCTTGACTCAATACCATCCATCCATCACTCCATCCATCCATTTTGTAATTTTTGAAAACCCTTATCCTCACGAGGGTTGCAGGGTGTGGTGGAGCCTATCCCAGCTGTCTTCAGGCAGTAGGCGGAGTCCACCCTGAAAAGATTTCCAGCCAATCGCAGAGCACACATTGACAAACAATCATGTGCTCACGATCACGCAGTCACACGTTCAATCGACCTGTTTTTGGAAAGTGGGAGGAAACCGGAGGACCTGGAGAAAAAAACACGCAGGCATGGGGATAACATGCAAACTCGACAAATGAAGGCTGGATTTGAACACACAACCTCTGCGCTGTGAGGCGGATGTGCTAACCAGTCAACTGACGTGCACTTAGTAACTGTATTTAAAAACCAAAGACCAAATCCGAATCTTTGGTATGCTGATACTTTAGGATCTGACTTCCAGCAGTCATATCTAATCAATCACGAAAACAACCCTTGAGCAGCTAAAAAACAAATCGAGGCCGTCTTCCCAAATCAATGGTCTTCTAACTGGACCCCCTCAAAAGATCATCAAACAGTTTCAGCTCAGTCAAAACGCTGCAGCTCAGGTTTTTACCAGATCAAAGAAATCAGTCCAAAAGTGCCTACACTAGCTCCCAGTTAGCTGTAGAATATACTTTAAAGTTCTGCTACTGGTCTATAAATCACTGAATGGCTTCAGTCCTGTATACATTAAGGAAATGCTAATAGAATATAAACCCTAGGGCTCCGAGGTGCACAGACTCAGGTCAACTAGTGGAGCCCAGACTTCAAAGTAAACATGGTGAATCAGCATTTAGCTGTTATGCTGCACGCAAGTGGAATAAGATGCTGATAGAAGTGAAGTCAGCCCCAAGTGTAAATGTTTTAAAATCATGGCTTTTTTTTTCTATACCTATGATTAACATCTTTCAGATTCAATCATTTCTAACATTTCCAAAATCTTGTTGTTGCGCTGTTCTTTTAGTAATTTTAGTTAGTAAATAAACGTTATATTTATTTCTTTGCTTTTAAATATATTTAAGTCTTTTGTTTGTATATGCTTTTAAATGTTGTGCTTTTAATTATGGGAAGCAAACTGAGTTACCTTGTGCATGAAATTTCAAATGCCGCTATATAAATAAAGCTGCCTTGCTTTGCTTTACTATTACCCTGATGAATAGCATCACCCAAACTATGAAGCTGAAGCAGTTATAAAACGTATATTCTGATGGGAATTGAATGAGTAAATATATTAAAAAAAGCCAAAGGCTATGGTTCATGAAACAGATTATTTTCCAGTCACATAAGTGTCACAGTGTCTTTTTGAAATTGTCCAACGCCTGCAGTGGCAATGAGTTGGACACTCAAAAATAAATATGGCAACACATTTGCCGTGGTGGTTATGCTGCCACCAAACACAATCTATTCCAGACACATCTGTATTTATCTTTAATTTCAATACATGAAGTAATGTTCATATTTCATTCCCAAGAGGAATTATCTTTTTTTATCCAACCATTTTTAATAAAGGTCATTTTTAATTTAGGTCGCAGGTACTTGAAACTTATTTCAGCTGACTTAAGCCTGGGCACACTCTTGACTTGTCGCCACAAGACCAAAACATTAGCTGTAAAGTACCCAGCACTGCAATCTAACATGGACAAAGAGATTTCAAGAATTCAGTAGGTGGGGTGGGGGTGGGGGGCATCTCTCCCTTGGCTACAGCCACTCATGGAGAAGATTGGGCGCTCCCAGCGTGAGACAGTTTGAACTGATAAAGATGTCAAAGCGGCCCCTCCTTCTTATCGCAAATCATTGTTCCGCTCTTTTGCTCACTGTGCTCAGTCTTCTGAGTGTACCTTACGCTTAATAATGTCCTTTCTGTGACTCTCCTTGCGGGTTGAGTCACCCAGTTCTTGAAAAACAACTGGCCAGGCTACACTGTGACATGAATGATCACCTAAATTATCAATTGTCTTCATTAACCGCCACTTAACTTGATATCTGCAAGTTGTTCACTTGAAACAAACGAGGCCGTCTCCCCAAATCAAGAACTCGGTCAGTCGATGCTATTGTTCACAACAGACGTGTCCCTATGTACAGCCATAAGGGGGGCCTTGCCCGCCCAACAACATGCTTGTGTCCCCTCACTTGGTAAAAAGAAACTTGTTTTTTAAAAAAATGTAATTTGTATTTTATTTCATCACAATTA